TATTATTTTTAGTAAATAAAATTTACATATTCAGAAACTACGTTAAAACCTCTTCAAAGCTTGATCAAGAAAATTTAAATTTGATAAAAATTTGATATAGTACGTATAAGATAAAAGATTAAGAGTGATTTAAGTTGACCAAGTGAATAGTGAACGAGAACTTCATTTCGGGACAAAGGTAGTATATATTTAGAATATGGAGTCAGCCTTGTAATATTTTCGATACTTCCGGTCGGCAATATAGAAAATTTGAAGGCCTTAAAATAGACTTTACCAACTCTTCCGATTCAACAAAGGCCAAATTTTTATTTTACTTCTCACACATACACCCAAAACTCATTAGTAACATTAGGCTAATCTTTTTTGGTTCTCTTGTGTGGTTGAAAGACTAAATTGGTATATTTAGAACACAGAAATTTACATAAAATTCCTACTTGCTCTTACCTCTAAGGCTCTGATTAGTGATTAATCCTTGTCAAACTTCAAGATTGATCTATACTACTAATAAGCAACTATATTTAACCAACCCACATGTTATACCAAGGAATGCTACTTTGAGGATACATACCTATTAAAACAATTTAAGAAGCAAAAATTTACAGTTCGTTCTTAAATAGTAGAGGACAGAGTGAGTGAGACATACCATATTTGTTAATGGAATCAAGAAAGAAGGGAAGGATTCTGGGGATTGGGTCATCTGAGAGATTGATGGGTTTGGACTTGGCTTCTTTGATGCTTCTTATGAGCTGAGGTATGTCTCCGTATGGGGGTTGGGAGTAGGGGCTGCCCTTAAGACCCTGTTTTCTAAGGCAAGTCTCCAGAAACCTTGGCTTAAACCAAGCCCACTTCAAAAGCCTCCATATGTAATATGCACATACAATAATCACTGCCAAACATATGATAATTGGTGAACTAAACATAGTTTCTGTATCAATCCTTTGCAGGATTCTGGATTATTTTGATGCCTTTACCGGGTTTATAGATAAAGTTCACTCTCAATCAGACAATCAGTCGGCCTATAAAGCTATTATCGTGGGGCATTATTGGATTGAAACGCCGTTTTTCCCACAGCAAAGCAAAACGGTAAAATGCAGCGTTTATGCTCAAAAAAGCCCAAATACAGACCTTGCAAGTTTTAGTAATTAGAAAAAGGGAAAACCGCCAATTTAGTTCTCGTACTTTAAAAATTCAATTAGGATCTCGTACTTTTAAAAAAATCAATTCAATCCAAGAACTTTGTAAAAATATTCAATTGAGTCCATTTTAAATGTTGCTTGTCATGTCATCACGTCACCTGCTGATGTGCCGCACACGTGACGGTCCACGTGTGCACCAAGTCATCATTAAATGACTGACTAGGGTTCCACATGTGCGCCACGTCAGCAAAGTCATTGCTGATTGGGCTGCCACGTGTGTGCCATGTCAGCAGATGACCTGTTGACATGCCAAGTAACCTGCAAATGAACTCAATTGAACGTTTTTACAAAGTTCGGCGATTTAATTGATTTTTTAAAAAGTCGAGGATTTAATTGACTTTTTCGTGATAATACGAGGACCAATTTGACAGTTTTCCCAATGAAAAAATGACATGTATATTATTAATAATGTTTATCCGTACAAAAATACGATTAGTTATGTTTTTGAATAAAAATATGACTAGTTGCTCTGTACGAGTCACTGTGAACTAGTCATTATAGTGTATTTTAGAATGACAAATCACTCGAGATAACGAGTCACTATGAACTAGTCATTCATTATGTCATTTTTAAATTAAATCATATTCTTATCTTTTGAATTTAATTTAGTACTAGTAATATTCATGAAAAAAGCAGTAATGAAAAAATGACATGTACGTAGTAACACTCAAACAAATGTAATTGATAAATTTACGTTAAGTTTAATCATAAAAGTAGATATATGATTTCTATTTAAACTATTTTTCGTAAGCTAAAACTAATTAAAACAAAAATATATATTTATCGGGTTCCATACAAGAATAATACGAAAATCAAAAATTTACTAAATAAACATGCAATTCTTCTTGTACACATTTTGTACATGTTTGTACGTAATTTTTTGTGCACGCGGAGAATACTGCATGAGTTGTCTGTGTACACATGCAATTAGGAGTGTTCACATTGTCTATGTGCACAGACAATTACGTACAATGTGTGCGAAATGTGTATAAATTTCTTGTACAAATAGATTTTCTCTTATTAATTAGGTTAGAAATCAAGAGTAGTATTCTCTGTATATTCAAGTAAAAATGAATGTGATTTACATTGGGATTCACTTCTATTTATAGGAGAAGTTATTACTGCCCCCTTGAGTGTTTCATCCGTTGTTGACAGTTTGGTATGAGAGTTTCATCCGTTGTGACGGTTCCAGATCCATCAAAAAGACTAGGGGCAACTCAAATCAATTAAACCCCCTTCCTTCTTAACTACATTAATTATCATATTAATTAATACATAAAAACATCATAATATCAAACATTAAGTCTTCTAAATGTATTATTAACTTCTATGATCAATTCCAATAAATGTACAATTAAATCTTCAAATATTTGCTCTAACAATTGCTCCCTTTGAGAAGTGGAAGCATATGGTGCACATGTCTAGCCGTTAAGCACCAACTTTTCCAAATTTTGAAAGAGCTTGAACTGCACATCCTTGATGAAACACGCCTATCAATCCGTGATCATCCGTTTGGCATAGATCTTGTCTTCATTCCTCCAACATTTTAGTCAATGTTGATGTTGACGCTTCAATTGGCAATTAAGGGAGACTTGGTTCCTAGTTGGAGTCCGACTCTATGAGTGTGTTCGATGTCATACAAAAACTTTAAACACTATTTCGTGTGCATTTTAGTAATATTCTAAACCTAGACCTGAATGTTTAAGGTTTGTGTCAATGTCATTAGCGTTGGTGTCATTTGTGTCAATGTCATTTGGGTCGATGTCAATAGTGTCGATGTCATTGGTGTTGATGTCATCCGTGTCACCTCATTCTCTTTTGGAGCCTTGTTGTTTTGTGTTACACTTTTGAAGCATATCTTTCTAGTGTGTTTTTCTATATAGTTTTGGTCAAAATGTTGCAGACAATCGATGGTGATTGCATTCATATTTAGAAGACATGAGAAAATCACTTCTCCCCTTGTAATTATGTAAGCCCCGTAAATTATGTTTTAACATTTATGTAAGATTTTATTTGTAGAGAACTGATGGTGCTTGTACTCATGTTTAAAAGACATGAAAACTCCACTTCTTCCCTGGTAAAACTGCATTAATAATGCTCATTTAGCAGAGAACGCAAATTTCATTTAAATTACCAAAATGATATTGGCTGACCGTATGGGCTTCCTTGGATATGTAGAAAAGAATGCATTCAAAACTATATATAGTAAATAATTAGAAAATATATTAATTGTTTATTAAGATTTTAAAAAGTAGCATAAACCAATTATTAAGTATTAACTGAAAGAATGGGAAGGTTTGATGAGGATGAACAAAATGATTCTTGTATCTATACCACATGACCACATGGGGTGATCCTTACTCCGATACTCGTGCAGTCTGCTCCTATGGTTGATGCAAAATAATTGGAAGATAATTTTAAAATATGAGGGTGTCTATGTTCATTCCTAACATCTCGTCAGAATAGTTTGTCCGCTTGTTGTTTTGTACGATCGAGTTCACGTAATTTAGTCAAATAATTCGGGGTATTTGACTAATAAGTGCATGTTTTTACATCCCCTTCCCTAATATTCATATCTTTCCACTTTCCTTTTTTGGATGTAACATTCACATCTTCCCATTTCTAAATCTTCTCATCATACCCTCAATAATTTAAAAATAATATACTATTACACCTACTTTTTATGGATTTATCATTCATTCCATCACATATTTTACTATCTTCCCATCATACCCTCAATAATTTATATCCTCTTTCACTATTCTTAATCTACCTACTTTTCAAATGGGAACATATATATTTTATATAGGGAGTATTTGATGTATACGTTGGGTTACGCTTTTTGTTTGTGCAAAAAACAATTTTTTTCCTTACTCATAAAACAATTATCGGCTATCACGAAAAATTGAATTGTCTTTGCCACAACCCACAAAGAATAACTTGTTTTGCAAAAGTGAAAAACGATTGACAAAAAAGACATGTGTATAACCCAACGTGTGACCCACACGTACATCAAGCATTATTGATTCCAAATAGTTTTATGGAATTTCTAAGATAGTGTAGAATGGAGATGACAAATCCTATCCGAACTGTTTTTTGTTAAACACTTCAAGGGGCAATATTATTTTTGAGGCTCACATAGCTTCCCTCTATATTTAAACTCTTCTATCTCTTTAAAACCTTGTTCTTGCCATCTTGCTTTTTTACCGTCAACCTTCCATCTATGTTTACCTTCCCACTCCCATTTTCCACTTTTAGCCCCCAAATTTTATCTCAAACGTAACAAGTTAGGAGTTCAAAATGTCCTTTTTAACATTTGAAACTCCTAATACGTATCTTACGATTCTTACCACTACAAGTGGTGTAAGGAGTTTATCTCTTTACATAAACACACATATTTAAAGATACATCTTATTGAGTTATTTTTGTGTGAAGCAGATACAAGTGTTGTACACAACCCAAGGCGTCCGTCGCCTAGTAATTAGGCAGTGGCCGAGCCCCCCGATTTCGACGTAATCGGAGGAAACAATCTACCAAGTGCCTAGGCGGGTTAGATGGCCCGGATTAATTTTTTTCCCCGACCCAATTTTGTTTTTCCGTTTTCTTTTAAAACATTGTTTGATCAATTAGTAATCTCTTCCTATTTAATTTAGTTTCATATTCCTACAATAAAAAATATTTTTTTTAATACAGTGAAACATTTTAGTATGTAAATGAACAATTTTAGAGACTAAAAAACAAAAAACTCTTCATTTATCCATTAATTATTTTATTATTGACAATTTTACTAGAAAAAACATAACATTTAATGTTTATATGAGCTACTTCTATTGTCAAAATATTATAAAATTATTAGTAACATATTTAAAATTCAAAGGAAATAAAAATAAAACAAAGAAATAAGGGGGAATACCTACGCGCCCTAGTTAGTGCCGAGGCGGGCTAGGCGCTAGGCGGCCAATCACCGCCCCTCTTAGAACACTGGGTATGGCCATATATAATTAACCCTATAGAGTACAAAGACCTCTAAACTTTACTACAAACTTTAAGTTTTGCAATGAAATGCTAGTCTCGGATTTAAATTACTCCGTACATGATTATGAATGAATAACATGAAAGAAAAACATACCCATACATAACTAAAAATCTCCATCTAATGTCTCTCTAATTTTTTCAAAATTAAGTGAGCACCGAATTGAGGAACCAGAGCGGTTACAGCTTGAGGAGCATGAGCATAAGATGGGGACAACTCGAAAGCATACCGCCTTAGAATCATAGCAATTGCCATCTTAGCCTCTAACACAGCGAAGTTCTGTCCAATGCATATCCGAGGTCCCCAACCGAATGGGGCGAATGAGAACTGCCCTTTGGTTGCTTTGCTAACTCCCTCTCTAAACCTCCCCGGATTGAACTCCTTTGCATCTTCACCCCACATTTCTTCATCTTGTTGCAGCACAATTAGTGGCAATATAAGGTTTACTCCAGCAGGTAGGTTCATGTTTCCTAACTTCGTGTCTTCTTGAAGTGTTCGACCAAACATAATCCCTGGCGGATATAGCCTCAAAACCTCATTGAAGATCATTGGTACCTAAACATATAATTAAGGTGATCACAAGTCAATATTAGAATTGGAAAGCTATAACATAGCCAATAATGGTTTTGTTTCACAACTATGAATTATTTGCACGGCCACGCGGTGTGAAGAATTTGTTTTGCATTGATCAAGTCTGCTAAATGAGTAATACTTACAATTTTGAGTTGATTTAACTTTTCAAAGTCAGGCTCCCCAATTGTGCCAATGACTTGCATAATCTCATCTCTGGCGCGCTCTTGCCAATCCAAATGCTTGCCCAACAATATCATTGTCCAAATTAGCAAAGTGGAGGTTGTTTCTTGACCAGCAAAGTAGAACAATTTGCATTCCTCTATTATTTCGTCTATAGTCATTCCATAACTCTTATTGTGATTCTCTTGGATTTCATTAAGGTTTGATTCTAACATTATACCCAACAAGTCATCACTTGTAGCTCCCCCTGACTGGATTGCCTCCATTCTTTTATCAATCATTCCAAGCACTAAAGATCTTACTTGGTAGAATATTTGCTTCATCCTCCTGTTCGTCTTAGTCGGTAGAAACCTGTGTAACAAAAATACCCCAAGCCATCAAGTTCCGTGAATCTATTCGTAGAAAATATATGCAATGCATTTGGTAGGCAAATTAGTAGGCATTATTGTACCTTAAACCAGGAATGTATAGTGAGCGGGATGCTTGGACAGCAAGCTGTGCTTGTTCCTTCTGAAGTTCAAATATCTTTCTTCCTTCTTCATAGGAACTTCCAAAAGCTGTTCTTGAAATTGCATCAGCTGTGAGTGTTTTCAAAAAAGGACAAACATCCAACTCTGATCCTTCTGCTCCGACGATTTTGTCCCAATCGCTTAGCATCTCGGAACAACTTAAGTAGAATGCTGGCACCATATGCTAAAACGTAACACACAAGAGGTGACAAGGGACTTAAGATTTATGATCATCATCATAGCTAAGAGCATCCACATTGATGCTACTCAATTTTATGGTTTTTCATGGCTTAATCACTTCTACGTAAGAAAATCTCAAATAATCTACAAATCAAAAAAATTCCCCTCAACCATGATCTTAAGTTACCAAGATATCTTATGAGACATACACTAATTTCAAGATAACAAAATACATGCCTAATTCCTTAAAAAGATATACGTACAAGTAGCATTTGGTTGGAATATGGTTTTGCAATTATGAGTATGCCTAGAAAATTGGGAGAAGAGTCTAAAAGTATGAAATAATTTCAAAATAATCCAGCTTTAGAATTTGATACCAAATTATTTTATCAAATAATCTCATAAAATAATCTCAACTCCTCATCCATGATCCCAAAAAAATCCTCCACATCATCAAAATGATCCCAAAAATAATCTCTGGATGTGGATGCCCTGAGGGGTCGGGCCTTTTTGGTTCCCGACCCACCTCAAATTTGAAAACGAGCATGAAAAAAACGTGAAAAAAATTATTAGATTTTTTTTACCATTACAATCTAATATTTTTTATAGCTACATCGCTATGTCCAGCTATCGAAAACTCACAATTAAGTAGTTGTTTGATCTAATATGTAAAAGTGAAAATCAAACTCTTAAAACGTGTTTTAAGCACTACCATGAAAGTAGTAATCGTGTCGTGAATTTGAAATAAAGATTGGGAAAAGACCTTGAGCTTATCAATGTGAAAAGCTGGATTGAGAAGTTTTCTGTGCTTGGCCCATTTGTCTTTCTCATACATGGCTAGTCCTTGGGCAAACAGCTTAATCAGTGGGTTACTCGGAGGTTTTTGAAAGATTGTGTGTTTGGAGAATATCTCTCTGATTAGTTCAGGATCCGTGATTAACACCTCTGGTGTTGGCCCCATCCACATAAAGGCTTTCTTGCCTGCCCAACAAAAATATTTCAGCAAAGAAACTATCTTAAACCCAATCTAGAACCGCACAAATGCTCTTCAATAGAAAGGACATGCACGATACTTTTAAAATCCTATAGGACTTAGAATTAGATTGGGGTCATCAACTTGATCACATGAAATTTGAGTCAGATCATGCAAAGAGAATAATTTCAATTTATCAATTACTCCCTCCGTCCCATTTATATTGTTCCGTTTTACCATTTCGGGAAATCCCACTTAAATTGTCTCATACCATATTTGGTAAAATTTGTGTGGCTCAAAATCATTCTTACTTTATTCTTACTTTATCAATTAATATCAACCACACAAACTCACTTTTCTTAAAACTCGTGTCACCCTCTTCCGTCACAATATAAAAGGGACGGAGGTAGTAACTTTTTTAATCTAAATAAACTTCAAATAACTATATTAATCCGGGAAATTTTTTTTAATTAGTGGAGTTTGAGACTGTTTTTCCAACAATCAGTTAGACCATCTGGAATCCAACCTTTTTTAGGAGTCCAAAATGTTATGAGGGGATAAATGGAATGTGAAGTGGAGGTGTTGTCTAACTGGCCTATTGGCTTATTCCCTCCCGGGGGAAGGGGAGAATGCGGATGTCTGCGGAAGATAACAATGGGAAAGGCAGTGCGCAGGATTGGAGCAAAAAATCATTTATACTCCCTAGTTTTTTTTATCTGTATTCCTAAGTTAAAAAAATATCATACTTCATACCTTCTGTGATGTTTTATATAACACAACTATTGTATATATACTCCGTATAGTTTTAATTTTTTTAAAGTAGATTCAAGTATTAAAATTCTGATCTCAAAGTTTCTTTTTTTATATATACATCTTTTAGCTTTTTCAAAAACATGTTTAAATGTAAACTTATGTGGTTAGTTGCATATTATAAAATAGAAAATCAAAAGTGTTGAAATTATATAGATTGGGGGTAACATTATTTATTTCGCAATGAAAGTTTAGAATGTTAATTGTGTCTTCATGGATTCTAAAATATTTTAAATTATGCAATTAACACCATAAATTTACTTTTTTGAAAAAAATAACACTTGACTATGGTGATAAAATAATTTTTTATATGAAATTTGCAGTATTTAAATTACATATGCAAGTTTGAGGTGTTCATATCACACCCTTCAAAATTTGAGATATTTTAATTATTTTTCCCAATAATAAAAGTAAGAATTAAATTATTAACAGAAGAAACTATAAAAAATTTAACAATTTTTTATTTTTTAACATCAAAATGTTTAACTTTTTATTTCATAATTACCGTAAATGAAATCAAAGAAAAACACTGTTATACACTAATAATTTTATTAATGTTTTACAAATTTGATATGTAAAAAACTATCGAGTTTATTTTATTCACAATGCTGAAATGTATGGAAGAACTGTTTTGACAAAGTCGATTGCTTGTCTTCATATGGACGATGAAGTTCATATTTAAGTGTTTTTTACGGTGCCAAACCAAAATGGACGTAATAATTCGATATCAAAAGTGTGTATACACTCCATCAATACCGTTTTTAAAGCATATTCAATAAAATAAACCCAACATTTGTTTACATATAATTTCACAAATCATTAATCAAATTATTATAAGTAATGTTTCTTTTTATTTCTTCCCACAATAATGAAGAAATGAAACATACATGTTTCGATGTAAAAAAATAAAAATAAAAAAATAAAAAAAAATATTTGGGTTGTTACTTGTTAGATCCCTTTTTCTCGGTCAAATAGTGTCAAAACCATCTCAGCCGTTTGATCTATCGTTTTTTTAAATCTAGCCAATGACCGTTGTAATTGGATGACGTCATGCCCCATTTTCTTTTCTTTTTCCCTTTTCTTTCCTATAACTACCCCTCTATTAATAATGAAATACGTACCCTTCACTCCTTTTTCACTTTTAAGTTTTATTTAACACTCATTTTCATCCTTCCAATGTATAGATTTAGAAATCCTAAAATCTTCCCACTACAAATGGCATCGATATCTCATCTTAATAATAAGAAACAAACACAAAAGAATAAGGGAGTGTTTGTGCAGTGGTTGCTTCTAATTTAAAAAATGTGATTATTGAAATGATTTTAGAGAAAGTGTTTGATAGTAAAAATTGTTAGTGTTCGATACAAAATGCTTCAAATTCTAAAACGGTAAAAGCTGACGGTGTTCGATAAAACAAGTAATTTTTATGTAATAGAAAAAATGAAAACACTCATTTTTTCCGTGAGCTTCCGTGATCAGACTCTTAAGTGTGATCCTAATACTTCCTTGTGTGACTCAATCTCAAGTCTCAACCAGTATTGCAGCAGAGAACGTACCATAATCGTTAATAGTTTTGTCAAGGAATGGCAAAATTCTGGGTACAGTTGGGTCGGTGAAACGGATAGGCTTGGAGTTGGCTTCTTCCATTAACGCGACAGTCTCTTTAAGGTCTCCGAACGGCGGCCGGTAAGAGTTTCCATTGAAGCCCTGTTGTCTGAGCTTCTTCTCCAGCTTCTTTGGCTCAATCCACACCCACTTCCAGATTTTCCACAGCAAAGCCACTGAGGAAAGGACTATTGCGATAATACTTAAGCTGAATAAAGTATTCATTTCAACTTATACAAATTAAACTCTGTGTATGACTTCATCAAATCCGAGCTCTATATATATTAAGGGGGAAACGACGCACAAAGTTTCATTTCCTAGCTTCTCTCCGTTACATGACTTTTCTTATAACCTTTGTGTGGGGAGAAAGCAACTACGGGTGGAAATGTCAAAAGAGTATTTCAATTCAGAGTAGTTTTCCTACCACTTGCGGATTGACTTTCGCAGTCTCGCCTCACCATTGAGTATTTGAGTCGATTTGATAAGGCGGCTTTGATAGCAAAAATTATTAAGAGCAAACCAGACCACATCATACTAGACCAGACTTTCGTGGTTATAAAATACAAAGAGATCAGACATTTATCAGACCAGACTAGTCAAGGCCAGACCAGACCAGCAAATTTTAGTCCAAAAGAAAACATCCATATTGAGGTAGGAGGATCAGATTTGATCCTAGTTCAGAAAAATCATGAATATGTATAATGGGCTAGGTACATTTGATCCTATTTCAGAATATTCATTTAAACAATGAACGGTCCTGAGCGTTGTTCACTTTTCGACTGTTTTCAGTCTCAGATCAAACCAAACCAGACTTCCATAGTTATAAAATACTCAGGAACCAGACGTTTACCATACCAGACCAGCAAATTTCAGTCCAAAAGAAAACATCTCGAGTTCCATTTAGCCCAATTAACTTTGAGAGTTCCATTAAGAGCTTATTTGATAACTCCATTTTCAACTTATCAGTTAATCCTTTTTACCAAACATGTACTACGTGTTATTTCATTTTGTGTGTTGAATATTGTAATAATCAAAACATATTTAAAATATAATCAATTGGCTGAAGTTATCTTAGAAATATTTTAGCTATTTTTCATATAATCTTTTATTTATTTTATTAATAAAACATATTTAAAATATAAATTTTAACTAAGTCAACTGCTTCAACACTTGGGGACTACAACAATCTATTGTGCCATAAATGTGTCTTCTTATAATTAGCAGTCTTCTAGTTTTTGAACCGAAAGAAACAATTGCTATACCACGGGTGCGTCTAAGGTGAGTATAATAGTCCCACACCTAGAATGACATCATTCAAATTTAAATTATAGTTTAAGGCCACACAAACAGTAAATATGTTTTTGTTTCAATATGAGGACTAAATTATGTGATACAAATCCCCCAATGTAAATCTCGTTCATGAAATTGTAACTCATGTAAGTACAAATGAATGCAATCTCATGTACCAACAATTTGAATTTTGAACTTTGAGTCTAGTATAGATAGGGGTGGAGTGGTCACCTGTCCTGGACGGGATCGAGTTTCCCATCGGGGACGACCCGAATGAAGAAGAGCCGATGCTTCCGGTCTTTGATGGAGGATTTGTTCTTATTAAGTTGCCGACCCAGCTGGCAGCTACTGACTTATGAGGTACCCGTTGGTATTCTGAGGGGCAATCTAATTGAAAAACAAGTGAAAGAGGTCACGACTTGGATCCACCACGGCCTCTTGACATCGGACAACAAAGTTGACGATGAGCTTCGGCGAGTTCGACATAAACTATTCTGGTACCACCTTGCAGCGGCTAAAGATTTGAATAAAGAAGGGGCAGAAGGGGGAGAGCAGCCCAACATCCACCGAATCAACGTGTACCATCTTCATGTGCGAGTGGTGGCAATGGGCAATGGGCGGCGGCAACAGGGTGGCAGCAATGCGAGATTATTAGTCACTGGCGTTGGAGGTCCCTGTCATTGGGGTTTTGCCACTAATATTATTAAAAGCTAGAAAACTCTTGAACAAAAATGAGACCAGTTTTAAAATTTTCCTCCAAAGTAATTTCCAAGACTTTTATGCCGTGCTACCATATGTATATACTAGTATTTAGTAAAAAAAATACACTTCGTACATTAAATTGTAAAGAGAACCTTTTTTATGTAGGAGGTACCGAGGTATGGAGTACCTAATAAAGAACATATGCTGATATGGTCCCAAACATAGAAATTCGCTACGTAACTGCAACGCTACCGCTACGGAACAACTACGTCGCCCGCTATAGGCCACTACTGGCACCTCCGGAACTGCATCACCAACTAACTAATGTGTAAATGTTGTGTGCATGGTGTGAAAACATTAATGGTGATGCATGCGGTGAAATTCTAATGTAAATAATGTCGCAATGCGTAAATGCATATATGCAATGTAAATGCAATGCAGTAAACTCTAAATTAAATGTACATGTATGGGGTATGCCGTATGAGACTAAACTTTTCACCGTAAATGCGTATGCATGCTCACTAAAAATGTTGTAATTGTGGGCTAGCTAATTGCTATTATTAATAGAAGACTATATCTTTTTATTGAAAATTATTTATAATAGAAAAATTATATAATAATGTAAGTTACAATAATTCTTCTTTTTATTCATATTATGACTATTATTGTTAATATTACTATAATTACTACTACTATTACTATTGTATTTGTTGTTGTTGCTGATTTATTAACTCATTTGACTTATCATATTTATTTTCAAGGGAAGTTCGCACAATCTCACCGGAGATGTATTTGTAGGCGGTGACAATGTAATACCTGGAACATTTTATATCATGTCGATCAGTACATGTTGAACTGTGTTTGTAATGTACGATAGTATCACTTAATGTAAGAATCTAATTTAAAGATGTGTTAAGACGTGTTTAGTTTGAAGACATTTTTAATTTTGTTTGTAATAACTACTCCCTATGGTTCTTAATTAAGTTCCGGTTTTGACTTCACAGGCTTTAAGAAAATAAATTTGATTTTACGGTTGAGTGCACTGTTTTGCACTATTTGGACACTATTTGACACTGTTTGGCACTGCTTTAGTGTAAATGATATGTCAAATAAGGAAATGTTTGAAAGCGGAACTTAATTTTGATACTGCCCGAAAAGTAAATACTCCCTCCGTCCCTTTTTATTTAGCCAAACACCTTTTTCCAAGTCAAAGTTCTTCAACTTTGACCAATTATATATTAATACACGATAATATTGATAATGTGAAAATTATATGAAAATGTTCTTTGTTAAAAATACTATCATAAAAGTATAAATTTATTAAGTTTTACATAAATATATTGGTTGAAATAATGGATCAAAGTTTATCACCTTTGACTGGAAAAGTCAAAGATGGCTAAATAAAAAGGGACGGAGGTAGTATGTAACTTCTTCCCGGGACGGAGGGAGTATTTAGTTTAACAATCTTTATAATTATTATTCTCTTTTAATCTCGTATTCTTATTGGTTGATTTGTTGTTTACATATAAGTGTTCAAACAAGTACTCATATATTTCTATTAATTCTTTGTTGTGTGCACTTGAAAATATTTCACGTCATTGCGACCGCTACACGCATTGCAGCGGCCGCAGTGGCCGCTACCGTGATGACCGCTATCGCTATTTCAGAACCGCATAATGAATTTGTGGGCCCCTCTTTAAAATAAACAACTTAAAAATATTCTCGATCTATATTCTTATTATACTCAAACCAATTGAATATTCATAAATAATGCAATTAAAGAATTACTAGTAATTTTTCTCTTTCAAATAATTGATGTCTACATTTTTTGTAAAGTGTTTCAATTTATGAGAAAATTATTATACGGAATAGTGAAGTGTGAATTTAGTTGCAACCCATATTCGTATATGATAGTATACACTATTACTAGTATATTGCATTGTATAATTAATTAATTAATGTTAGTGGCTTAAAAGTTATATTACCAGTGCCCCTTATAAATATTGGGGCCCATGAAAAGTGTGACAATGTTGAGTTTAATCTAATTACCATGGTAAAAGACTGTCATGCGCTATTTAAAATGAGATAATTATCTTAGATATGACTAAAACTCCGTCAGTTTCCTAATCTATGACCTTATTACTTTTTTTACTAAAATAATACCAAAATTCGTACTAATTAATTAATATATCAATAATTAAATAAATATACATTTTTTATAGACTAATATGCCCTTCAACTCTTATTATAAAACCCTAATACCCTAATTGTAGCCGATCTGTACTGGCCAGCTTCTTCGCCGATCTGGAAGCAACCCTCGCAGTAGCTACGTCGCTTGGAGGGGACCAGACTTCACGCACTACCGCCGGACTGGAGGTATCGATGACCTCTCACTTGCACAGAGGTATGGATGAGCCAATCAACAGATGACTTCCTCTTTATAAGTGCGGACAACTTTGTAAGTGAGGAAGCTAGAAGACGTGAACCCCTTGGTTCAATAACAAGGTTGGAAACATGAGTTATCTTCTTTTAATAGAAGAAATTGACGAATTCTTCATTCACTTAGAATAGAAATAGCATACCCTTCATCACTTATGGTTGTTTATTTGATTCTTCAAATTCAATTTTTTGGGGTTGGTTGTAGGTTTCTAGTTTATGGTCTTCTATATTTTGAAATGTATCTAGATAATACTTTCTTTGATAATTGGATTAACCTCAACTGAGGAAATCATCTTGCTTCTTTCAATCTTGGATCCACAATATTTGAAATCCTTCCGTTTGGATTTTACCGGCGGCACCCCGTCACCAGACTATATTTTTATGTTTTTAGGCAGTAAACACAGACATTCAATATGGACATTCAATGAATGCATTGGAACATGGGAGCCGAGTACATGTTGAGTGTGGGCAGTAAATATATATGCAATAGATATGTTGTACTCCCTCCTCCCTTATTGTTCTTCCAAATTAAAGTGGCACGGTGATTAAGAAAGTGGGAATTGTGTGGTGGAGAGTTGTGCAGAGGAAAGAGAAATGTTGTGAACTACAAATTCTTTGCCAAAAAAAAGGAAAGTGAAATTCCTTTTGGGACGGACGAAAAGGGAAAGTTGGAAGTAAATTCAGGGACAGAGGGAGTACATGTCTTTGAATCAATGCATTAAGGAAGTTTGTTGTACAGTGATTATGAGTAATAGTGCAGTAACACAGAGCAGTAAGGTCACCACGAAATACTATATACTAAATTAGACGTAAAATAATAAAATCATTAGATTTAAAAAATAAAAAATAAAAACTATAAATAAATTCGTAAAGTGAACGACAAGAGAATTAATTTTGGTGCAAGTGCAGCGATTATTACCGGATGTGCAGTAATATTGTGCAATAATGTCGTGCAGTAATGTTGTGCAGTAATGATAATATAAAATGCAGTAATT